TTCAGACATAGCTTTTTCTCGTGCTTAATTTATAGTAGTTAAAGCCTTTGTATTACAACAAGGGATCAGCCAGACTCTTTAGCAAAATTCCAAAGCACCATCCAACAGCCAGAGGCTTCCTCACTTGGCATCTTGTGCTGACATATAGGAAATGCAAATGTCACCAAGTTAATAGCAGGGACTTCAGAGCAAGGTGTGCTTCAAGTTGTACTTGAGCTATACAGAGCATCTCTCTGTACTTGAGAGCCATATAGTAACAGAGTAGACTTCTTATTGAAGCAGAATAGACAGAAACCACAGGTGACTGCTTATTTCATGTTTGGGGTAATTTTTAGGGAATGCTGACTTGTTCACGCTTTTCACAATGACTTTGAAAGTAACATACAAACTTTTGAGTGTAGAGGGTCAACCTGCCATGGTTGTGGTTTGAGCATGTAGTCTCTTTGACTTGGAGAACACTTGTAAGCAGCTAGTTTGCTTACTCAGAAGTAGCAGAAGTGCAGCAGCATGGCTACTCCCTTGCTAAGTGGTGTAATTTTAACCTTCCTCATGTTCTGTGCAAGTTCAGCAAAAATACCTGTGCAAACTTGGGTTGCGCATCCTGCATTCGTGTGTTTTCATAGTTTCTTGGAACGCAGGCTGGGACTGGGTTGAGAGCATTCAAGGATGTCATTACATCTCAAAGTTTAAGCATTTCAGCACATTTAAAATGTGATCATGTACAGAAGGCTTCTGTTGCTATCACATGTGGATGACAGATTGTATTGCATACTTATTAAATAAATCATCAGATGATCACTTTTATTTTAATCCCATAGTCATGTTAGAAAGGGGGACTACCAATGAAACTGTCTGTTTCTAGATCTGTCATATCCAGAGGCTTCTTAATTTATTTTACATGTTGACAGATATTACTGACTCTGAAACATGTATCACATTTTTCCTGGGATGAGGATTTACTATGCTGTGGAAAACACATGGTTAGATATTACATGAGCAATTAACAGGTGATGTTGGAAAGAACTTAATGAAGAGTACTAGCTTTACATGTCTAGAGAAGAATGAAAGGGAGAGCAAGACCTTGTCCACCCAGATTATTTCTTTGAGAAACTTTTGCAGCAGTGCTGAGTTGTGTTTGGGTCAGCAGTTCCCAAGGAATACTGTGGCTAGAAGTTTTTGCTGACAAGGGCGCTGTTTTAGTCTGTTTCCACATATAAATCACTTCTAGGCAATGAACACTCACTTTATTGTGTTGATGTTTTTTTTAATTACTAGTTTGTTGATTAATGAACTGACTCTTGAACAGTCCTAAGAAAAGCTGGAGAGCAAAGAGGTTTCTCTCTACAAAGATGGCACCTAGCTGAGCCGCCTTCCTGATAATAAAAAAAATATCTTTTATAGGCATATCCTTCCACAATTCCATTGTCCTTTGAATCCTCTGGTACAGACCACTCTGAGGTGACCGTATTAAAGTTACCCTTTGGTCTCTCCCAGCATTGGAATTTAAGTGCTTCTGTATCGTATGGTGCATAAAACTACATGCACCATTTTATGCTGAATCTTGAAGATGGGTATAACAGCTGTTTCAGTGAGTACAGCAACTAATAAAGCCTCATTTCCGAGGTTTCTCTTTTTAACCTTTCCACAATAGCTCTAACTTCCTCACCGATATCCTGTCAAATCAGGGAAAAAGCAGCATATGCTGTGGCTAATCCTGACATAACATGTGCAGACTGGCCAACTGTCCTCTGCCAAACACAGTGGACACAGATATAACTATGCATCTTCTTTTAGTTCACACTAATACGAGTTGGTTTAATTTACACTAGTACAGTGTAAAATCAGTGTGGCCCAGAAAGAGTAATTCTCTTCCTTTGCATTCCTTTCAGCAATCTGGCTACCAGACCACTATTGCGTCTGTTATGTGTGCATAGCAAGCCTGCTATTAAATGTAAACTAAGGTGTTCGCTGCACCAAGATCTCCTGTTGTTTATTCCCTAAATAGGGATTTAGTTTCCATGGTATTGCATGTTTTGGCAGAGAAGGGAGTACTCTGACCAGGGCATTTAGTGGATATTTAGTCAAGTGATTGCCTCTGCTATGCCGGGAACAAAATAGCATCTTGTTAAGACGAACCTGTTTGTATCTAAACAACTTTTAAGGTCTGAAGCTGGATATTCAATCGCAGTTTTGCAGGCTGTTGTAGAAGGTGATCCACAAGAGAAAAACTTCTGTGTAAATCAGAAGCCTTCCCTAATGTCTTGCATCTTCCTTTGAAATCTGTATGTAATGTCTACTCTTTTGCCCACACACTAAAGGATCTGTTCATTCACTTAGTCATTTATGCAAATCCCCCTGTTAAATCCCCCTTGTAGTGTCACATCAATAATGGTGACTCATAGCTCCAGAAAGCATTGCCTGCTGAAAGCATGCAAAACTTGGATATAATCTCTGTGTGTGTGTATGCATGTATGTTTTCTTCCTTGGGCCACTTAATGCTAGCTTCAGCTCTATCTGTCACTTACATAAGCTGTAATCAAAGATTAATAGTAATACTGTAGAACAGGAGAAAGATTTTTATGAAGGGTGTAAGAGAAATGGAGATCAGTTTAATGAGCATGAGTGATTCAGGAAGCTTCTTTATGAACTCTTCAGAGGGTCTCTGGTCCAGCTGGTTGGTTGGAGGAGGTACAGGCACTTGTCAGTCGCAAAAATGCCAGTTCTGAAGCCAGTGAAGGTTCATCTATAGGATTTTGTTGGTGGTGGTTTTATTTTTTAATAAACCATTGACCTGTGATTGGGACATCTGTAAAATGGCAGCAGAATATATTTGCCTATCCTGATTCAAAGTATGAGCTTCCCAGACTTTTAAGCATCTTACCTAGAACAGGTAGAGGTACTTAACATAGTAAAATGCTTCTGTCGTGTTTTGGGCTGATAGCTCTGGATTTTTCTGCTCTGGAGGCAGAAATCCTGTGTGTAACAGGAGTTGAACAAGTGTTTCCAGGAAAGTCAGTACATCTCACTATTGACCAGCTGCTTCGTCTCTAGAAATTAAACATGAACTAATTCTTAGGACTCCATCAGTTGTTGCCTCATGATGATAGGCTGAGAGCATTTGATTTATCTGTCTCATATAGGAAGGACAGGAAATATTCACATGCTTCACAGGTGGGCTATGGGGTCTTTTCTTAGTGATGTGTGTTAGGCTGCTGGGCTTCTGATTGTGTACTTGTTTTTCTATGGAATTTTTAAGGTTTCTGAGCCCAGCCTTCCTCCATGGATACTCCTTGGTCACTCTCAAGAAGTTACCTCCATTGCTTGGTGTCCTTCAGACTTCACTAAGGTTTGTTTTCTGGAAAATTGTCTTTCCCGTGAAACAATAGATGTGATGTGGCAACATCTGCTTTTCAAAATTGCAGTGATATTTGTTTATTTGGGAGGGAATTTTTAGTCAATGGTTTCTAAAAATGTTCATTGGGGGCAGGGCAGTAAGCCAAGCTTGTCACATGAGTGCAATATATCAGAACTTTTTCATTATCATCAAATAATTTAGGCATTTGATAAGACCTAGGAAATTGCAAATGAATAAAGACCTCTCTTGATGAGAGCTTGTGACACTACCTGTAAGAGACAAAACTGTGAAACCATTTAATCAGGGCTTTCATAAGCCAAAAGCTTGTTATGTGGTTCCATACTTAGAGCTTCTTTATCTGTCTGACCATTGATACCTCTGCTAGTCTTGTACAGAGCGGCAAGGAGTTTTGAATGCCCTTTTATAAAGCATGTAGATTCTTTCCATTGTGACCTTTTTTCAAAACCTGAGCTGTTTTTACGACATCTTTGTGTGTACACCCAAAAACCTACAGTGAAGTTGGGTCAGTAAGTGTACACCAGGTATCACTAAAAGGAAGAGAATTGCAGTGGGAGGTTGGTTCAAATGATTGGCCTAGCTCAAAATGCAAAATAACCCTGAAAAGTCCTAGACAGTGTCCTTTTAATAGCCAGAGTTTCTTTCACCCCACAGTATTAAGGAAGTCAGTCACTTTTCTTAGCTTGCACTATTGCACTGGGTCTTCAGAAAAGCATTGCAATGTAGGAGGGTGGGAGTCTTGCAGGCAAACAGCAGGATTTTTTCTAGTTGTGTAATGTGCACAGAAGTATGAGACTTAGCATTTTAGATGAAACTGTGATCTAGACGTAGCCCAGCATCCTGATCGTGATGTGTTGGAAATGCAGACCAATACAGCTTTTGAAATCATTAACGACACAGGTAAGAAATAGTCAGCCATTGTACAGATGCCAGAGCGTGAAAAAAAGTGGAAAATGTGGTGCTAAGACAGGTCAGAAAGCTGCTTGGAATGATTTGAGAAGCAAAGTTGCTTTCTGTATAGACAATATTGATGTCAGAGAGGTCAGAGTAGAGGCACTCTCCCATTCAGATTGCTATGAACTTTGGCCACAGCATTTCCTTTTTCTTGCTGCTGATTCCCATGTGAGTCACCAGCTAATCTGTCTGAAGAGAGCCATAAAATGTGGGCTAGGTGGGTTCTGCTTCTTCTTTGAATGAGATTCCACAGATCATTTTGGAGCACGTGATGTTGCAGCGGCCATCTAGACAATGTTTCTAGCAGAGTTGGTTTCTCTGCCAGATACTGCTGACATCTGACTCTGAAGAGATAGCGCTTAAGGCTAGTGCAACAGCCTTCCAATGTCACCTTCTCAGTGTGTTGCAAGTGTTCATCCCCAAGCAGAACAGATCCTGAGTAACAGAGACAGATGTAGATGCAGGTGCAAAAAGCAGCATGGCTGCTTTTGTCTATCAAGTGATTGAAATCTCAAAATATGTCCTTCCTTAGCAGGCTGCCGTCTGTTACAGAGCTATGCAAGGCAAGAGCCTTGCCCGCTTTAAAGCAAGTGATGCTGTCTGGTACAGTAATGGAAGAGGGTTGGGGTGCTTTGTTTGTTTTATGGGCAAATCTTATACCCCCTCAACCAGGCTTCACCCTCATTCATATTGGCATGGTGTTGGGTGTAGCTGTTCTAGTTCACTTGGCCACTGATCCACGGGATGTGCTCTGGTTACTCCAACAAACTAATTTATACTATAGATTGTCACTTGTTCCGATGACAACACTGTGAGGATTTGGCGCTTACGACGTCGTCCTGAGGAGGAGAAATCAGCATCCAGCAAAGTCAACTTGGTGGGCTGGGTCACTCAGAAGAAATCAGAAGAACAACGTGGAGCAGGTAAGGCCCCTGAGCTAAGGTATCTTGCTCTGCAGCATGGCTTCTGAATTCTGGCTGCACCAGCAAAAGCCTTTGGCCTGTCTTACTAGTCTTCTATTTTTTTTGTAGTAGGCAACAATTCATATAGCCAGACAAACACTTCTACTTATAAATACTTCTACCACCAAGACAAGCAGGCTGAAGTAGCTTACAAGTATGCTGAAGTCTGTATGAACAGACTGCAAAGCAAATATTCATTAATACAGCTTGTTGGGCAGCCAGATCTTCAGTGGGTATGAGCAGGGCTCAATAATTGAACAGCCAAAGGAGATGTCGTGTGTGCATGCACTGTAGCAACAAGTCATCTTCAAAAGTGAAATAAGTTGAGATTCTCTGTAGAGTAGCTCTGAAACTAAGAATACAATAGCTTTCTAGCAGCTGGTGGTGTGACTTCCTGTGTTCCACCTATCTTTTCTAGCCACTCTCCAAATGAATTTCACCTTGGCTAACACAAACAAAGGCTGAAGGTCTCCAAATCCCACTAATGGGATAACATTACCTCTAACCTTTTGCCAGTGGGTAACAGTCTTGCAGGAAGTTTGCAGGACAATAGCAAGGAGAGTGCCAGGTCTGCTCTGTAGCTGGTAAATGGTTTGTGTGTGCACACACTGCTTCAGGGAGGGCTCAAAAATCACTTTGTATACTAGTTTCAGCAAAAGAGAAGTAAGCATAGGTCTAGTCCAGAAGCCTGAAACCTAAAGTAGCTTGTACACTAAAACTTTACGAGTTGGATTTGGCGATTATACTAGAAAAATATCTTATTTCTCCTTGCTCTTGCTGGATTAAAGTAACACAGGAGGGAAAAGGAAGTACACAGACACTGCAAACACAACAGCAGGCTTCCTGC